GCTGGTTATGCAAGGAACCCGGCGAGTAGCCGAGGGTACTCGACGAGTTAAGGTCAACATGGATTGTTGACCTTGACAGTTGACTTTGACTTTGACCAAGAGTTGACCAGTTGACTTCTGAGGGTATTTTGGTAAATTGGGAATTTATAGCAAAGGACATTTGTGAATATAGGTGTTGGAGTTGGAGCTACATTTGGAGGAGTTTGACACTGCCTTCCGAGCTACTTGCGAGGTGAGTTATCCTCACTATATCAATAGGGTCTACGACACTAAGGTCGGCCCTTTATCGGATTTGTATCCAGGTATTTTCATGATATGTTTATTGATCTATTAGATCTGCGTCCTGGTAGTTAGGACAAAATTATGTTTAGTGACCTGGTTTAGGTCGGTATCCTGATATATAGGATGATGCTATGTTAGTGACCTGGTTTAGGTCGGTATCCTGGTATATAGGATGATGCTATGTTAGTGACCAGTTAGGTCGGTATCCTGGTTATAGGATGTTGCTATGCTATATGATCTGTTAGATCGGTTTGTTTGTCTATAGACTGTTATGTGATTATCTGTTATATGTGCACATGGTTGTTTGATTGGGGGATGGGTTGAGGCGGGTCCTGCTTTGTGCTGTAGGCCAACATACCCAGAGCGGACCGGATAGACTGTAAACCCGGGAGGGTACATAGTCACTTGAGCTCTCAAAACAAAAGAATCTCTCTTGCTTACTAACTACTCCAAATGAGTGCTCTCAACCTCACAATGATTACGCTCTTGAAATTTCTAAGCACATATAATGATGGAGATACAAGTCTATTTATACTTTAGAGATTATAACTAAAACCCTAATAGGTCAAGCCCATTGGCCCATAGGCCCATGAATGGTGACAACTAATCATATTCTGCCACACATCATCTTTCTAGAACATTCATCCATGTCATACAACCCATGAGCATCAGCAACACACATAATAGACCACCTTGACCATAGTGAAGCATCATGATGCACATGTGCCGCATCATGAACACTAATGGTCCAACATCCATCATGGTGGTGCAACATGGTGTATTTATTGAGCACGATCATCTTCTAAGCATACATGGATCAACATGACACAATAAAGAAATCAAGATGGCACATCATGAACCAAGATGGTCCATGATGGCACAACATCTCCTCTATGGTGCAACTTCCCTTCTTGATGGAGCAACAACATCTTCATATCTCAACATCTCCTTGGCTCAACATCACCTTGGTGCAACTTCATACATGATGGTGCACCCTACTATCATTTGGCGCAACATCCCCAAGGATGACGCAACTTCCTTCTATATGACGCAACATGTTGCTCCATGTTTGCTCCAAGTGCTCCATTGTCACACCCCGAAACCGAAGGCGGAAACGTTCCGGGGAGGAGGTGACGTCATGTTAAGTATCACAACCAATGTACATAGCAAGCATAGTAAACACAACCATTACATTACATAGAAATATTTACATTTGTTTGAAAACAAAGTGATACAAGTTTGATACATATACATCATATGGACAAAATACAGACGAGACTTCTATTCGCTCCGTCTTCTCCAAAATATCGCGGGATACCTGTCTAATGAGAACCTGAGAATACAAGCAGTTTTAAAAATATCAGCATAAAGCTGGTGAGTTCATAAGCATGTTTTTGTGAGGAAAATATGGTTATTAAATCTTGTGAAAATACTTCCTTTCCTTTAATAAAGTATGCAGATATATCGAAAACCATAAATTCTGAGTTATGAAATACATATGCATGTTTCGAAGAAAATCCCATATTTTCTAACATGTTTGTCGATAAGAATACCATTCAGTACGAAAGTAGGTAGTTTTAATACATAAAACTATAGATTTAAACACTGGAGTACCCTCTAGGTACGAAAGTAGGTAATCTTATTACATAAATAAGACTATAGAAGACAGAAAGAAATCCGTGAATAAAGCTAATTAGTTTAATACGTATTGTGAGTCGTATAACCATACTGATTTGACCCGTGACCTCCTTGACGTTCTTCAGGCGTCGAACGATATCCGAAATTTGTCACCCCAGGCGTGCCCGCCTAACTGTAGCTAGCAGTTAAGGTGTGGGATTGTCAGTCCCGAATAGATCTATTCACAAATTCCATGCTCTCCCTCCAGGAGACTCTGGTTATACTTCCAGAGAGGATTTACTGATAACCCGAAGGGTATAATGAATACGAATCTCACAAGCTAGTATTAAATTATTCACGGTATACTCGGTCGTTATAGAATTTCGTAATCGTTTGGAACATAGTAGAGTATAAATAATTGAATTCAAAGTGGCTATTTAGCATAATACTCTACTTTAAACATGGATAAACTATATCAGACATAGTTTATATAATGACTTTGCATGAAATCTGAATCCGTAAAACAAGTAATGAGATCCCAAATTATTCCCATAATAATTTGATTGGTTCGATAAGTTTCCCACACTGTATTGAAAACTATGTAATTATATTGAGAAAACATCCCTTATGCTCCGCATATTACAAAAGGGACAAAGATATCTAAAAGTTTATCAGAATATCGTATAATTACATCTGTTTTTAAGTTACGAAAATCTTTATGAATTGCTTGTATTCCCCCCATGAAAAACATGAAAAACTCGGAAAAAGCGTAGGGGTATGAACTCACCAGTCGAGAAATGTGCCGGTTGGATACTAAGTGTCAGTTTAGGGCTTGAATACGCGCGAGGATCTTATGTAACATGAAAGGATACATAATTGTATCTAATTAGACTTTGAACTACTTAATTAAATAAGATAATACATTCCGAGACGCGATAACACTTTAATCCCAAGTGTTAGGAATGATCCGGGTTGCATCTAAGGGTGTGTAGGGTCTAGATAAGGAGTTTGCTCTTCAAGAGTAAAATCTTTGAGGAGTTTAAGGCCTAATGACCATATCCCCATGAGTTTACGGCCGCAAACTCATGGGTGGTGTGTTCTTGGATGCTAAATGGTCTTACAATGCACAAGGGAAAGTTCTAGGGTTGAATCAAAGGCTTAGGAAGTGATCGGGACTTGAATTGACCTTGGAAAAGGAGTTTACGGTTTATGAAGGTGTTCTTGGTGAGTTTACTACCGTAAACACATGAGTTTACGACCGTAAACTCATGTTTGTCCATGATTCATGTGTTTTGGTGGTTGTAGGTTAAGCATACAAAGTTCTAGACCCAATTCTAAGCCATACAAGGTGTTAGGGGCACTTTAACACCCTTTGGAGGTGTTTATGGTCCATGAATGAGGGTTTACGGTCCAAGCATGTTCTTGGGCCGTAAACTCATGTTTACTCCTCAATTGGTAAGATTTTGGTGTTCTAAGTCCATTCATGCAAGCCCCTAAGTCATATCTATGCACTAGAAGTGATTTGGAAAGGTTTTGGGGCTTCAAAACCCTCTTTAAAGGAGTTTACGGTTTTGGGAGGGTTCCCAAACCGTAAACACATGTTCTTGATGCATTTGGATGATTTAAACACGAATTTGCATGATAAACAAGCTTAATAACAAGCTAGGATAGATTACTTACCAATTTGGAGCTTGAAAGGGGTGTTTTTGGATCAAAGTCGAGTTTTAGAGAGAGAGTAGTGAGAGAAAGTGTTTTAAGAGAGTGAAAAAGCTTCAAAATGTGGTCACTCAATCCCTTATATAGGGTTTGAGTTTATGGCCCGGTGGAAATCTACCCGATACCGACGTTAAACGGAGCTTTTGGTCGTACTCGATTAATTTGCCGTAACCCGACTTAGTTGAAACTAAAAATTTTCCAAAAGAATATTGAGGATGTTTTAACGTGATTCTAATGCGTTCCGACACTTATGAAGTTAAAAATAAAAGTCGCAATTTAATTAACTTAATCCAAAAGTTAACGGAAAAATCTTAATAAAAATAAATTTTATTAACGGAAATGGAATACTGTGACGGAATAAATTTCGGGTTGTCACATCCATGTTGCTCCAAGTGCTCCATGTTGCTCCAATTGCTCGATGTTGCTCCAAGTGCTCCAATTTGCTCCATGTTGCTCTAAGCCACTCCAAGTTGCTCCAAACTTCCTTTTGGAAGACCTGTTCCATTTTTACTTGATCTGTTCTTTTATTAGTTGATTCGTTCCTTTGTCTTGTGATCCAAAACCATCTGAGATGATCCGTTCCTTTGTCAAAATGCTTCATCCAAGTGCTCTACTTGAGTCTAAGTGCTCCATGTTGGACGAGACTTCATACCTCAACAATTATGACACCCATTAGAATAAGAGCTGAGCCTTGGATGTAAAGTCTTAAAGGATTAAACACTTTTAAGTGAGTTCTTGGTCATTTTATTATGCTAGGAAGCTTAAGTTTGGTATTGGGCTCTACTAAGTCTTGCTAGGTCATAAAGTCAAGAACTTTATGATTCTAGACATCCATTATGCATGAACTTGAGGATTTGGACATTAGTGTATTTTTTATTGTTATATTTTTAATATTTATTGTTACATGTGAAATTTTATTTGTTATTATATGTGAAGTTTTTATCTAAAAAATTTATAACTATTTCACATCCATCATAAAGTTGTATGCCGTTTTACACAGATTATATATATATATATATATATATATATATATATATATATATATATATATATATATAATACGTCTTAAAAATAAAGGATATAAAAAAATTAGTTAGCATAAAAGAAATTAACAACAACTTGGAGTTAAGCTTTCAGAAAGTAAAAAAAGTAAAAAGTATTCTTTTTGAAACTTTGATAAAATTGAAGCGTATGAACTGAAAATAAATTTGAAATCATGATAATATAATATTTTATTGTTGATTGATAATGAATTGATTATAGTTTGTGAATTTAATTTTTGGTTCGTCCTTTTAAAATAACTTTTTTTTGGGCTTCCGTAGGAAATGTGTTGGAAAGATCCAACGAATTTCCTACAAAATAAAAAACCCTTACTCTCGTCTCTTTTAACCTAGCCGCTTTTACATTTGGATGAAAAAAATGTGCTGCTATTCTCCCCAAAACCATGGCCGACGACTCCCCAAACAACCTCTAGCCACCGGCAAATTGCGCCACCACACTACCTTTGCTGCGATACACCACCATCACAGCTGCTTCACGCCGACATTTCTCCCCACTGTTGTTGCGACACACCACTAGCACACCCGCTTCATGCCGACACTGTCTCCATTGCCGACGCCGGATACTTCTAGACCAGCACTTGCTTCCGCCGCCGGTGACTTCAGGTCAGTTGCGTGATACCACATCTATCAATTGCTACCGGTTTATCAACTAGTTTCATCTATTGTTTATCAACTAGTTTCATCTATTAATTTCTACCTGTTTATCAAATGTATTAGTATATATGTATCAGAATGTATCAATAAGTATGTATGTATGTCAATGTATCACTATGTGTGGATGGTATCTGTATACATCAATTTGTACCTGTTCATTTTCTCAATTATGTATGATAATTGTGCTCATGGATCTGTATCAGTATGTATTTATGTATGAATCTTGTATCTACTGTGTATCACCATTTTTGTATGAATATGAGAGTGCACTAATGACCAGATTAGTAGATGCAACAAAAATAAGGCTGATTGCATCCCAATTTGTTTTGGCATGGTTAATAACCTCTAAATCCATTATACTTACATATGTATGAGTTATGATGAGCACCGAATTAGGCTGGTAAGTATTCATATCATATAAATTTTGGTAATATTTTTTCGTTTAACATAAATTACATCATCTATACTTGTAGACAGCAGATTTGGGACGACCACCCACCTTTTTTGGAGTTGTTCTTGTTTACTCATCTAGATAAAGCTTCAAAAAAAAAATATTTTGCTGGAGATGTTGAGGGAAAGCAATTTTTGCACAGAGATAGAGCAAGTGAAGCTTATGTAAGATATCTTTATCATTTTTAGATTTTTTTGTCCCTAACTTTTTGTACAATAACAATTGTGTTTTTTTATTTTCTTGTAGGAGGTGTACTCTCGATCCTTGCTTGAGAAGTATGGGGATGATTTTCATGATCACCCGATCGATGATGCTGAACTGTGGGCGAAAACCCAAAGGGAGATAAGTGGAGCTTCTAGGAGTAGTTATATCTATAGGATTGGGATCCTCGGATATAAACTTTTTGTTCAATGGGAAATCATCTGCTGCTACGGGGTGTTCATCGTCCTTTTGTGGGTCTCAACAAGAGGTATATTTACTTATTAAATAGATTGTCTATATTGTGAATAAAGAAAGTTAATTGCTATAATTAAACACTTTGTGAGCCATGAAAACATCCCCTAATATATTTGTTCCAAAACAGCCAAGATACTCACACAAAGTATTATGTTGTAATTATGAATAAAAATGAAGTATGTTGCTATTACGAAATATTTTTGTATTTTGAATGAAAACAGTTCCTAAATAAATAGTTTGTTGTTATATTTTGTTAAAATAAAGTGGGTTGCTATTATGGATAAAGTAAAAGACCTATATTCATAAAAAAGTAAAGTACGTTCATATTATGGAATATGTTTTGTTTGTTTCTATAATGGATAAAGAATGTTGATATATATCATTATATTGTTTGTTTGTTAATTATATGTTTGTTTCTAGGTTAAGGAGCTATGAACTCAACTTGAAAATGCGGAGAGGGAAAGAGTTTTTATGCAACAAAAACAAGAAATAATGGAACAACAGTTGGCTCAACTAATGAGACAATTTGCTAACCCTCCCGAAGATCGATGTTAGATTTGTTGTTGGAAACATTTTATTAAGCATGTTGGTGAAGTACAAAAACCTAATTGTTTTGGTGAAATATTAGAGGATAACTATCATTTTGATGAAGTATTGGATATTTAGATAGCAACTATCATTTTGTTGAAGTATTGGTACCATTTTGGATTTGTATTAAATTGTTTTTATGTGTTTGCTATTATTATGGTTGATAGTGCATATTTGAAGAAGTTGTATTTGATTTATAGTTCACTATATAATTTCTATAAAAACTGCATATTTTTAAATTTTTGAATATTGGTGTTTTATAGAATTAAAAAAAAACTTTATTATTACCAACATAATACCTACAGAAAAATGCATCAAATTAAACTCTTTTGAAATGCTAGATCGTTGGAAGTTTGTTGGAATGGTTCGTTGGAAATTTGTTGGAATAATGATTTGTAGGAATTCTGTAGGAAAAAATGTGTCAGGAAGGATAGGGGCGTTTTGTTGGAAATTTCCTATGAAATATTCTGTAGGAAATCTGTCAGGTGCTTCGTTGGAATTTTGTAGGATCATGGTTTCCCACGGCCCTTTTTCCAACAAACACATTTCGTTGGAACTTTGTTAGTAATTGCTGTTTCCTACTAAATTCCAACAAAATTGCTTGTAGGTAACCATTCAATTTTCTAGCATGCAGCTTTATCAAACACCTACCCATTCTTCTCTCAAGAATTTTTCCGGCGACATGGCCGTGATCTCATCGCCGTCGCCGTTAACTGGTTTTTGGTCGATATCGTCTTTTACCGTCTAAATCTATTCCAATATCATGCATTTAAACTTAAAATGATTCCAAAAAGTCACATGAATATATACGATGATGCACTACAAATTGCAAAATTCCAAGCAATCGTTGCCATTTCTGCCACGATTCCCGGCTATTTTCTGGCGGTTTACATGATTGATTATGTTGGGAGAGTCAAGCTTCAAGCAACCGGATTCTTTTTCATGGCAGTAAGTTTGTTTACAATTGCTTTTGTTAACAAAAGCACTTGGAGATCCGAACCCGAAGCTGATTCAGGTATTGGGTTTATGATACTTTATGGGCTTACATTCTTTTTTGCTAATTTTGGGCCGAACACCACCACATTTATAGTTCCAGCAGAGCTTTTTCCGGCGAGGTTCCGGGCAACGTGTCATGGGGTTTCCGGCGCTGCTGGGAAAGTTGGGGCGATAATCGGGTCGGTTGGGTTTTTATGGGCCTGTCGTGACCCACCAAATGGGCTTGGGGTGTCGCATACTTTGAGGGTAATGGGTTTAGTCTGTGTTTTGGGGTTTTTTGTAACGTATTTTCTTACGCGGGAGACGATGGGCCGGTCGTTGGAGGAGAATGAGAATGTTGATGAGTTTACTGGTGTTTGTTTTATCAGATTTTGGCCCCATAAAGTTTGGGCCAAAAGATTTGATGAAACAATTGTGAATGATCGTTTACATCTGTCTTTATCAAATGCAATGTAACTTGTTTTGAACTGTCATTGTAAATTGTTTGGGTGGTGTTAGGTGACGGTTGAAAGTGGTGGTGATGAGCGGAGAATGCTGGTTAAATAAAAGTTCATAACGTCGTCTATCGATGATTATTTGGTATGACACACTTCAAAACACATGTTTAAATCTCACAAACTTTACTCGTATGGTGGCCTCTGTTGAAAAAAAAAAAGTTCTAATAGTAAGATGCTTTAGATAAAAATCATTTTTTTCTTCTAATTTTTAGAAGGGCAGTCTTAGGTATTTAACTAATCCTTTCTTATAACAAATGATTTAGGTCCTTTTACAAGAGAACTTTGTATATGCTTTTATTAAACATTCAAATATCATATTTACCAACAAAAATTTAAGTATCATATTTATCCTTCATAAATTTGAAAATATCTTATTTATCAAAATCGTTTTTTTAACATTTTTAAAAAGGTTTTAAATCTTTTTAAATCCTTACATTTATACCCTCTTCATAAATTTCCAATTCAACTTCAAATGACCATCTAAAAGAAAGTTGATTGAAATGATTTTTGGAACAAGAAGGGTGTTTCTTCTTTGTTTGAGATCTGTGCATATAATATCAACGATTTTGCTAGGGTTTTGGGTGTGAGGTAGAAAATTTTAAAGTACGTTTAGAAATAAATGTGTTATTGAATCAGGTCTCTAGGGATGAAAATGCTGACTTTGAAAAGTGATGGATATTAACAACTGATTTGAGAAGGATTGGATTTACTGGACATTCATTTCATTACTTTTGAGTAGGATTTAACAGTGCCAAAGTTCAACGCAAGAGAGTTGCAAACGTAATTTTGATTACTCACATTGTTTTGAGATGCTTTATAAACGTACTGAGAACTTTTTGTTTTGTTCCAAAAATTCAAAGGAAGAAGCTGGCGATTTAGCTAGTTTCGTAGCTCATCTCAATCAATTTTCTTTTAAATGAGATTTTGAAGTTTAGTTAATCAAAGGGTTATGTCTCTGATCCAATTATATTTTTTGGATACTTATACTTTTATTATAAATATATGTGATTTCAAAATTATAATACAATGTTATTTGTGATTTTAGAAATAGAAAGTTTATTGTATAATTAGTACTTAGTTCTTAGAATGGAATTGTTTATATTGTTTTTAGTAATTATGTTATGATCTTGACTAGTTTATCATGAAACTTGCATATTATAAAATTTATATGGTGATAATTATGTTTATGTTACATTTGTTGGACACTAAAACTGTTGATGTTGTAGAAATTGGAACTATTAAATAATTGAACTCATTATTAGATTAAAATGTGATCGAGTTTTAGGCAATAAAATTTCATAGGGTAAATTTTAATCTATTAAGATATAAATGGAATATATGATACTCATGGGTACCCACAAATCCAATGTGTATTTACTATATAGGTACCAGATAGGATATGACTAGACTGTATTTTAGATACCGTTATAACCGGGAATGAGACTGGATCACTAATACTATCGCAGACTCGTCCCATGGCCTCCCCTAACTTCAATAATGTTGTGTTGAAAACTAAAAATAAAATATGATTTATAAATATTATACTGTGTCTGTATAATTTGTCTCGTTCTTACACTCTTATATAGTGTACGATTCCTTCCATAAATAGTGTATCTACATATTGAATGCTAATGTAATATACACTCTAACGAATTTTTGAGATCAAACATGGTGTATCTAATCTGAATGTTGAGGATTCCATTGATCCCTCACTGCCTCCACTTTCCTTATGTTACCATCTTTTACGAAAAAAAAAATCAACTAGCTTTGACATCACCATCTGCAACCATCCTCAGATCATACCAGCCATGTGATTTAAACACCCCATATTCTTTTACAGTAGAAATACATTTATTTATAAAACCTTGTTACGATAATATATCGTAATTGTTAAAAAAAATTCATGCTTCAAACAAATTAATTTACAAATATTTCATTAAATATGAGGTTTACAAACGATAACATAAACCATAGAGACTGCTTACATATAACCAACTAGGTTGATTTTTTTCAACGTTTTTATTTCTTCGATCTATACTAGTAGTCTTTGTTGCTACAATCCACCTGGATATATGTCATTTTGCTTAAAATTGTCGTTTTGGTCCAAAAAAGTTGGACTATCATAAAGGTCAAAACTTTTCATTTTGTTGTTTGTTTGGTTCAATCTATTTTGATTTTTTTTTTCAAAATGACGGATTTGCTTATGTTAATATGATTTTCTCTTTTTCGTTGTTTGTTTTTCTGATTTTTAGATTTAAAAAATAATAATATATAAATAAAATAAAAATATATATATCTCTCTCCCTACTATTTCTCCTTCATTCTTCATTTGTTCTTTATGTCATTTTTTGGGATTTTTTGAAATATTTTTGTCCACTTATCATTTTCTTGTGTTTTTTTTCTTAAATTTAAAATCCACATTTTAGTGAGTGCCTATTAAATTTCATAATATGTTTATTTCTTTTTTTTTTCAAATCTTTTAGAATTAAATCTTAAATCACTATATCACACATCATTTTTTTTTAAATATCAATATTTTTTATTAATATATATTAAATTACTCATTTTATTTAGTATATATTCTTTGTATTTACATAAAAGTATTACTTTAAAATATAGTTAATATTTACAATTTTATATTAAACTTTTATTTTAATAAATACATATATTACACAAGAGGTCACAACAAGCCACATAACAAAACTTCAAAATTAAAATTAAATGGTATACTATAAATTCTGTATAATCCGTTCAAAAATATCCCACGTACCAATTGCCATCCGTCACGGCCACTAGCAACCGCAAGTCCGCAACCGCAACCTCCACCAACACCTCCGATCACCGGCAGACTAATTTACAAGTATGCTTCAACAGAACACTATCAAATTAACAAAAGAATATATTACAAGGAAGATAGATGTGACTTTAGTTCATAGGTGTTTGTTGAACTGCTTTCTTCCATATCTTATTGGGCCAAAACCTAACAAACCAGACTCCGGTGAGCTCGTCGACATTCTCATTATCCTCCAACGACCTCCCCATTGTTTCCCTAGTAAAGAAATAAGTAACAAAAAACCCTAAAACACAAACCACACCCATCGCTGTTAAAGCTTTCGACACATCAACCCCATGTCGTGGATCACGAGAAGCCCATAAGAACCCGATCGTTCCAATTATCGCCCCCACTTTTCCAACCGCACCGGAAATCCCATGACAAGTTGCACGAAACCTCGCCGGAAAAAGCTCCGCCGGGACTATGAATGTGGTGGTGTTCGGCCCCAAATTGGAAAAAAAGAACGTAAATCCGTAAAGTATCATGAACCCGAAATTCGCATTCGATCCCCAATTGCCCCTGTTGATTTTCGCGGTTGTAAACAAGCTTACAGCCATGAAAAAGAACCCGGTCGCCTGAATCTTGACTCTTCCGACGCGATCAATCAGGTAAACTGTCACGAAATAACCAGGGATCGTTGCAGAGGCTGCAATGATTGCTTGGAATTTTGCAACCTGCAATGCATCTTCGTATAGATTCATGTGGATCTTTGGAGTCATGTGATGTTTAAATGCGTGATATTGGAATAGATTGAGACTGTAGAAGACGATGTCAGGAGAAACCAGTTTGTGGATGCTGCCATGAGATCACGGCCATGTCGCCGGAGAAATTCTTTTGAAAAGAAGCCATACGTGTTTGAGGAAGATACACGGTTGATTGGGGTGCTGATCATCTCGACATCTTCTTGGATTTGACTCAGTGATACTTTTAACACTTTCTCCATATCTTTCGCTGCTTGCAATGTGTTTTTCTCGACCAAAGCTGTAAATCTGAGAAAATAGGTGAGTTATTCGTCACTAAAGAAAATAAATTCGTCACTATTTCCTAATTACTGCGACGAATATATTAATAGGGACACTAAATGTATTTAAGAATATTGATGTTAATATTGCATTTGTGAGTTAGAAATATAAAGGAAAGTTGATAGTCTTTCATGTTAGAATGTTAGAATGTCACGCATTTACTTTCTTACAAAATCGAAAAACAAAACAAGGAAATCTTTGTATCCCATATTTTTCGACTTAACAAGTGGAGAATACAATCATAGTATATTTTTTTCTTTCCTTATCTGTCTAAAATAAAAACTCAAGAACAGAATAAGTACCGAGCGGTTTCCGGCATCTTCATTCGCCAATAATAAGTCATCAACGCTGGAATTCCACCGACCATGAGAATTAGCCGCCATGCCAAGTCCGATTCCGGCGGTACCGGGGCATTCTTTTCGGATTCCGGGAGTTCAAATGGAGCTATCAATTTATCGGCCGAAACTCTAAAAATGGAGCAAACCATCATGGTAACAAGCGAACTAAACAGTATCCCGAACCCTTGCATAGAAAAAACTCCGGCAATAAACGCCCCACGAGTGACATAATTGTAGCAGATAACGGGTAATCCCCTCCAATCCCAACACCAAGCAGAAACCGAAACTGACAAACACCAATGGAGTCAATGTCGAGAGTGAAAACCCACATCCGATGGACCCCACAACCATCAATATGAGTGCAACACCGTACACTTGGCGCCGCCCGACACAGTCACCGAGCTGCCCGATCACCGCCCCCATTAAAGCTACACCGAACATGGTTGATGCGATGATTCCAGGGACTTCGAACAAGTGCTTCTCTTCCAGTTTTTCATTGAATTTAGGGTAATATATCCTTCCAATCAGTCTCATGATCGGAGGGATACAAAACAAGTCGTAACTATCGGTAAAAAGACCCATTCCGGCGATTATGATCGCTTTAAAATGGTAATATTGTGTTTTTGCACTATCGAGTGCGGATAAAACTTTCAAAGCCATTGTGGGATTGAATTTTTTGATTTGAACACTAGACTTTATAAGAACATAAGTTATTACGTAATAAAATTGACATCAATAGTAAAATATCGCGATGGAAATTGCTAAGGAGTTTCGTGGACATGGAAATTCTTAGCATATTCTAGTAACATTTTCGAAGAAGTTATTTATTTGTTGTCATATAATAAATAGATAGATGGCTACATCTTATGAATTGACTCTCCTGACCAAATCTTCAACGCCGTTTGCTAAACTGATCGAAGACTAATTAAAGGAGCATTGAACATATATATGTATGGTCTTATGTAATTATTTATTATCTTTAATTTTTTCAATATAATAGAGAACATTTGATATGTTGGTTAAAATAAACAATTAAGATCATCGTATTTTTTATTTTAGTGCAGATAGACGCTTAATATTATATTAATTAATTCTAAATGAAACCATATAAGATAAAGAATATCCAATTTTGTTGCATGCAAGACCGACAATCCTTATTTATAAAAGTATAACATTGTAGTTTAGTATATAACGATGTCTTCGTGAAACTAAGATTGTTCAAATGATGTATGCACTTTGATTGTCGAAGAGAAGCCAATTAAGTAGATGACAACGTGACTATGTGAGTGAAAGGCAAACCAATGAATCAAGAAACGTTTTATATATCATATAATATTTATTTAAAAGTGTGTATATGTAATATTTATTTGAAAATGTATGTGTAATATTTTTACAAAGTATAATATTTATTTAAAAGTCTATATGTGTAATATTTATATAAATACATGTATAATATTTATTTATAAATATGTTATAAATATCATTTTATTTATTTAATATTATTGTAATAAAAAAATAGATTATATATATATATATATA